GAAAATGGCACCAGGAAGGTAAGAGAGAGCTCTTCTCAACAAGGACAAAATATAAACCTCAAAGACAGATCCCCCAATGACCCACATCCTCCAGGTACACCCTATCTGCCCACAGTCACCATCCAGTTAATCCCTATCAGATTAGCATGCTGATTAAATTGCAGATCTCATAATCCAATAATTTCACCTTTAAAAACTTTTGGATTAATTTACACATAAGCTTTTGAAAGAACATCTCAGACTTAAACCATAACATCTGCCCTTGGCCCCCAAAATCTTATGCTCATATCACAATGCAAACTACACTTTGTCCATTTTCAAAAGTCCCCATAGTTTCAGGATTACCTAAAAGTCCAAGTCCAAATGTTCCTCTGAGATTCAAAGGAAACTCAACAAGAACTCCTGTAGAAATCAAAAGCAAGTTATGTATTTCCTATATGCATTTTCATGTGAAGAAATAGGGAGATAGAAGGGATAAAACTGAAACAATACTGAAATACAATTGAGCAGACAAGTCCTATAGCTTCATATCTAGTATCTGGGGCACATGACATCTCAATATTCTCTCTAAAGGACTTGTGCAGATCTGCCCCTATGGCTTTACTGGTTGCAGCCTACTGGACTATCTGTTGACATGTTCCTGCTTGTTTCCTTTATCTTTCTTTGGCAGACACTTCAGGTTACTGACATTTATTAATCTTGGGGGTCTCCACTGCAGCTTTGGCTTGCTTCTCACATCTCCACTCATTGTACTTTCAAGGTCTTCCTGAAGGAACTAGGACCCTGAGATACTATGCTTGGCTTCTCAGACCTTTCTTTGAAAGGATGATGACACCCTAATTCTAGCATCTACAAATTCCTACAAATCCAGCAACATATGGTTGCTACCAAGGTTTGCCACCATCTTGAGCAGTAGCCAAATATTCAGGGACCTTGGCTATAGCAGCCATTGAGTATTTGGGAGACTGAGTGCTATGAAACAATGCTATGCACCTCTGTGCAAGTAGGGTGCCCTTATGTTCTTTTCTGAAAGAAATTTTTACTCTAACACCCTTGAACCTAAAATGGGTATGACATGGCAATTTCTTTTCTTTTTTTTTAAGAGAGAGAGAGACAGAGAGAGAGATTGATTTAATATTTATTTTTTAGTTTTCGGTGGACATAGCATCTTTATTTTATTTTTTTTATGTAGTGCTGAGGATTGAACCCAGCACCCCGCGCATGCTAGGTGAGTGCGCTACCGTTAGAGCCACATCCCCAGCCCTGACATGGCAAATTCTGGGACAGCAATTCCAGTTATTGAGACTCTAGTCACCTTGGCCCATGATGACAGGTTCTGATTGAATTCTTAACCAATTACTACAGATTTTATAATTAGGAGGAATTAACCTTAGCTTTCCGAGTTTCAGGATGTGATCACAAAATTCTCCTCCTTCAGGCTAACTTGCTTTGCTCTTATTAACATTAATTTGGGCTAGCATTTCTCCTGCACTGAACAGGTAGTTTGCTGAGGAATGTGACATATCCTGTGCACTTAGGCCAGGCAGGCCTGCAAGATAAATTGCTTTTGAGAAAAGATAGCTTATGGGGTTCAGCTCAGTAGGCTCATTTTATAGAATGATTTTCTTAACCTCATTTTCCCACCATTTTCATCTGTCTGTTCCCTAACAATAAGACCTAAAATACACATGATAATTTGAAGATTTTAGAGTCAAGTTGTAAAACTTACAGTATCTAATTTCAGATTTTACTATAATTACAATAATCAACATACTTGGTATTGACCTAAAGGAGAAAGATTTAGATCAATGAAACAGAACATAGAGTTTAGAAACTGATGTTGACATACATATTTAATAAAAATATATTCTACAAAATATAATATTTAGTGTGCATATATAATCAGTTTACTCTTACAAAAATGCCAGAAAAATCCAAATGAATTATATCTCCACTTAGGAAATCTTATTTTAATAAAAAATATTCCTACATAATGGGATTTCACTGTAAAACAAGACAGATACAGTTCTTTTCTCATGAAATTTTTAGTTTCATTTCAATAAAATCACAGCTAATTGAACAAGTAAAACCATGTGAAAAGAATTAACATTTCTGATGTAGAAATGTTTGCAGGGGCTTGAGGGATACCTAGATTTCTTCTTGAAGATAGTGAAACCAATAAAAAAATGAATTAAAATGCAAAAAAATAAAATAAAATAAAGACCCAACCCAGGAGTGACAGTGAAAATAAAATAAAATAAAAGAAGATAGTGAAAGTCCTAAAACATTTAACTTATATAGAAGACATCTATTCTTCCTATATTCATAGATCATACCATGAGAATTTAATGGTAGAAAGGCATTTCAAGTGAAAAGATTAGTACAACAGCCATGGAAATCCCAAAATGTATGCAGTTCTTCATATTACAACCATTGATTATCCAATGTATATGTGAAAATAGCAGCACTAATATCTAAGATCATAACAACAAATACGACACTCAAATTTGAAAAAATAGAGCTTGTTCAAGGAAAATACCAGAGTTTAATAAAACAAATAGAAAGAAACCCATCTAAAATGTACTTACAGAAGAATTCAATAAGACTTTTCATCTATAAAACAAGAACACTGCTCTATCACATAAGGAAAATCAGAGAGCTGGTGAAGTAGCTCAGTTGTAGAGCACTTACCTAGCATGTGACAGGCTCTTAGTTCAATGCCCAGAAGTGCCACATACCCACAAATAAAGGTTGAAAATAAAAGTGAAAGATTTAATTGACATCAGGAAAAGAGAGAAAATAAAATTATAGAGAAAGATTTCAATATTTTAGTAAAAGAAGTCCCCTCAAAGTGAAAACTAACAAGGAGAAAGGGAATGAGTCAGAGAAAAGAAAGTACAGAAATAAAACATTTTCCAGATCTGCAGAAAGATACAAGCTCATTGATTTCAGACAGATAACATATAAAACAGAAATTCACACCAGAAAATGTGTAAATCATAAAATTTGGAGTTCTGTATCATAATAAGAATATTATAAAAGTATCAAGAGAGAAAAGAAAATAACGTAAATAAGGCTGCACTAGCCTTAGATTTCTCATCAAGAAGACCATTTGTACTAAATGCAGTGCCCCCCCACCCACCTATAAACACAGTGTCTTGGGAGGCTGAGGCAGGAAGATCTCAAGGGCAAAGCTAGCTTCAGCCACTCAGAGAGGCCCTAAGCATCTCAGAGAGACACTATCTCTAAATAAAATTTTTTATATATATGGCTGGGGATGTGGCTCAGTGGTTAAGCACCCTTGGATTCAATCCTCTGTACCAAAAAAAAAAAAAAAAAACAATTGAAGAAGACTGGATATTTTGAATGAACATGACCTTAAGCCTAGGTTTTATGTCCAAATAAATAAATAAAGGTATAAAAATATTTTTGAGCAAGGAAATTCTCATATATACATTTTTTTAATCTTTTGCAAAAACTTATCTGGATGGAGAAAAACACAAAAAGAGGACATCAGACACAGACAACAGATTTAGATCAAGAGTAAAGTGTGGGTTCATAAAAGTCCATTATAATGAAGTAACCTAGGATACCCAGGTTAAGAAAACCATACTAAAATAAATTTGAAGATAGGGCTTATTAATATATATTTTAATCCACACATCAAGAAAAATGATTACAACTTTTTAATAATATCATAATCAAACATTATGCAAATTGAAGAAAAAATTTAAAACTTTTAAGAGAAAATGAAGGTGAAAATAAAATAATAATAAAATATATAATAGCAGTAAAAATAATAATAAATAATCCTTTGATCTGGAAACCAAGACCATTTTTCTTTGATTAGCACAGGTGTTGTGATGTTACACAGATGAAATAAGGCAATACAATCTGTATTGCTTATTGTCTTAAAATCTTTTAAAAATGTAGGTGCTTCAATTCTGATTATACAGATAATATTATCCAAGATATAAGAAAAATTTGTAAAAAGTGAATGAATTGTGAACATGGTGGAGAAATGCTGGAGTGAAAGGCAAGAGAGGTAGTATCTTCATTTTACATGGGAAATAGTTAATATTGTAACCAAAGTTGGTGTGAGAAAAACACCAGTATTTAAATGTATAAAGATGAGCTACAGAAATTTTCAGTCATTAATATAAATTTCAAATATTTGAGGTCAGCACAAGAAATAGTTTAAGCAATTTGAATTTAAATTTAAGAAACCAAGAGATATATTGTGTATACAACATCTCAGAGAAGTCCTAATTCTGAGGTGAGTAACATCTAGAGCCCTGTCTATAGGGAAATTAAAGTGAAAAATTACTTCAATTCATTGAAATTTGTCTCTTTTCATTCTTTATTGTGTGCATTAATTGCTATGTTAAAAATATTTAAATTAATGAAAACTCTAAAAAAAAGAGAATTCATGAATAATTAGAAGGAATCTAAAAAAGGGGAAATAATAAAACTAGTGATGAGTTGAGGCTCAGTGTTTGGCCTCTGTAAATGACTAATTTGGGGTGAATTAATGGGATGATGACACAATTAAGAATTTTGGATAAGGAACATGTTGATAAATTGGCACATCAGATTAGTGACTTAAATACATTTTAAAGTAATCCACGTTTAACAAATAACATTCAATCCTTTTATAGACAAAATGGAAAAATCACCACTTTCTTGAAACCTACTCTATGTGTGCCCCTTTGTGCTGATGCTTTTTCAATTAACTCTCATAAGAAGCTACTACATTTGCGGGTAATATCCACACAGAGCTTCCTCTCTGAGATCCAGTTGTTTTCAAGGGTTTTAAGTGTGAGTAGTTCTACCCACAGCACCAGTCATTGGAGCATTAAAAAGTACACAAATTGAAAGCAATTTCCGGACAAAAACAGTTTCTTTTTCATTAGAAAACTATAAATAGTAAATGCCTCTTTGCTTTTTAAAAAGCACTGTAGATTCTGTTGCCAAGTTTTTTATCTTCTGTTTTCTACAGAATGAAGATTGTTTACTGCCTTCTTCATTTTCTGTGTTACATGACCTTCATTTTACAAGGTAAAATAAATATTTCTGGAATATTTGTAACATATAACTTCTAGATAGAAATATAAATAATAGATTATTAATTGGAAAATGTAGGTTCTTAATATTGCCAACTGAGTGTTTTGAGTGTGCTGAATCTTGATTCCTCATTTAAAACATTACTGTACCTGTGTATTTTATCTACTTCATTTTCTAAGTGAATGTGCATATAAAATGAGATGAATGATGAGGGAGAGAGCCTTCATCTTTTCCAGATCTTGATATTTCCTTTTAGATATTTAAATTACTAAGAAAGCCAAAATTTGTTAAATTTGTACATAAGATTCAGAAGTAATTAGTCCCCAGGAAAGATTGATGGAGCCAAAACAGCTGTATTTATATCTTGAGATATAATTTATAAAATAATAGAAGATACAGTCCCAGAATATGATAGGTAATGAAATACAGTAGGAATGATAGGGCAAATAAAGAGGTAGTACCTCAAATGTCACTGTCAAATTAGTAAATGCATTAGTAAAGACTCTAATAAAAATAAATGGAGCCTCTGAGGCAATGTGGTCTCTCTAAAAATTGAGATATAAATTTATACTCATACATATTCTAATATGAACCTACAAAAGTTGGAAGCTCAAAAGTTGCATCATACGTGATAAAGAAAACTGGATTCAAATTCAGATCTCAATTTTATGAATAGCTCATTATGAAATAGGTCCGTGAACATTGTCACCCAGATAATTTAACTACAATGTTGGCATCCTAGAAAGAAGGTGAAGAAATTTTAAGCATGGCCAGTAATAAACACTGTTTTTTAAATTTAGAAACTGATATATAATTTTATACCTGTTGCTCAATAGACTTAAGTTAAGATTTAGTGAAATAATGTATTGGAAAGTCGCTCTACACACTAAAAATTGGTCTAACCAGTTTAGGTGCCATTATTTACTATCATTGTTGCTGTTGTTATAGTTAATACTGCATGTGGCCTGAGGAAGTAGGATTTCAAATAAAATGAGGAAAGTCATCAAAGCTCATGGTGCTAATGTGTCAATCAATGACCATCTAAGGTAGATTAACTCGTGTTCCAATGCACACAATACCAGACACTAAGAACAGCCATACAATTTACTGTAATTCTCTAGCATACTTACATTGAGTCAAATAAACATAGATAAATCAATGAATTATTCTTATTTAGAAATATATAAATATTATCTAAATAAAAAGAATGGTGAAACAACATTAATGGTGGAAGTTTAGGGAAATGTCCAGAAATCTCTAATGAACAGTTTTGAAATTTGGAGTAAGACACTAGTGTTAGACATTGGAAAATTAGAAGAAAGGCAGAAGATAAATATGATTAGTGCATGGCAAAACCATTGAATATTTTTATATTCTATAATTTTCATGTAGACATCTAATCTGACCCTCAATAACACTGAGATGAATATTACTGCCTCTTTTATAAAAGAGGTGAATAACATCAAAGGACAAAAATTTTCAGGGTCACACATATATATACTACCATGTATCTGATGTGAAATACAAATGCAGGTTTTTTGGATTGCAGCATATTTCTTCTTTCTATTTCATCCTAATGCTTTCTATAGTGATACTAAGGTTTTAAAAAAATTCACTAAATAATTTGGTCAAAAACAGCAAGGTCATACATACAGCAAGAAATCTGTAACTCAGATGTATAGTAGATACATCAACAGACTCTACATTTGCTGTGCACTGTAGTAAGCTTTAGGGCTTTGAAGATACTTGGTATAAGAACAGTGACCACAGAATTTACATTACTTCTGGATCATCTAGCAGGTACCAAGTTATAACATATACTAGAATGAAAGAAATATTCTATATTTGACCTTTGACTAACCAAGAAAACAGGTGGAGTAATGCAAGGTATCAGAATGTAGCGTTTTGAAGGAATTCACAAAACAGAACACATAAGTTGCACTAGGATATGGTTTGGCTATTGGTAAAACCTAAAAGTTATTTAAAAAAGCAACAAAAAATGTTCAGTTTAACTGGATGCTTTATGAAGCAGTAAGAACAGGGTTTGGTCTAATCAAGGTAATACCATGTCAAACCAGTTGTGGAAAACCGATGCAGATGAACACTGATAGTGCTTGAAACATGCAGGAATCAGCAGTCTTTTAAGCAGGGTACAAATAAACAGAATCCACAGAGAGAGTGAAGGCAGCACACCATTATGGCTGAGAGAACAAGTCTGCCGTCACATAGATCAGGATTCATATTATAAGGCCCAGTGTCTCCATGTGGCTGACAAGGAAGTTGCAGGTTTTTATCATACAATGAATGATAATATAATAAATTTTCTAAGGTTTTTGCAAAGAGTAAAATAAGTAACATAAGCAAAGCATTTCCTACATTGCTTATCATACTGAAATATTTCAAGAAATATGGCAGGAGGAATAGGAGCATAGATTTAAAAAAAAAAAAAAAACAGAGATAAGAGGAAATAGTAGAGAACGAATACAAGGGTGTTCAAGGTAGGCTGTTCTTTAGGCATGTTACATAGGCCAGGGATCTCAAAAGGAGAATCACAGTGACCTTGGTGACTGCGATATATTGCATGGTGAATGGGAGGCTGAGTTGAGAACGGTGAAGAAGATAAATTCATTGATGATGAAATGTTGCCAGGAAGAGATTATTGATTCTGATACTCTAAGATTTACTAAGTTTTAAATCAAGGGGAGTTAATCACCAAGAAAATTTGCTTACTTGATAAATAAAAAGAAAACCTCTATTAAAAAGTTGAAAGTAGAAAACTCTGTGATGTCAATATTGGAAGATGATAATACATCTTAACTACAAAGAAAAGAGAAAAACAAATACTATCACAGATATAAAATATAGAAAATTTAAACATGAAGATTAACAGATCTTTAATTTGAAAAATAAACATCAAAGGATATTAGGAAATGATTTAAACTAAGTTGTAATTTAAATGAGATAACTCAAAGCTCATTGAATGATGTGACATGATGTTATAAGGAAATTTATATAGTTGTATCTGTATGTTTAAAATTAAAATTAAAAAATTAAAATGTACTTCCTTAGTTACATTCCCACATTTAAAGTACTTGAGAGCCAGAAGAAACCAGTGGCTACCTATTTAGACAGTGCAGGGCCATTATACTGAGATATTATGAGCATTAAGGCTATAAAAATATTACAATAAATACATGCATAATTATTGCATGATATTAGCTATAGGTGATAGTAAAATAAGTTTGTTACAGCATATGCTTCCCACCCTCCATACATCTAGGTCATAGGATTTTTCCTTTGATTGATCTTGATAGTCATATACCAATATTTTTTTCTGACAACATATTCCAGAATGTAGTTTTCATATCTACTACTTTTATTAAGTAGCCCTGAAACAATTAAAATTTAATCATGTGGGCAGATTATTTTTAGCCAAGGCCTAATAATATATTTGGTTCCATCATATTTGATAAAAATGCTTTTCAATTTAGTATGAAACACCTAAATTTAGGTGTTTAAAATCACATTTTAAAATTTACAAGACTTAAAGATATTTAAGCATGTTTGAAAGAACCTGTTATGTAAATCCAGTTTTCCAGCTATATATTACAGAGATTTAATACAGATTTAATACAATTTTCAATCTAATATCAGATTTTCTGATAAAAATTTTGCATCTATATTGTGATGTTGATGTAATATAACATATACACTAGACTTTAAAAGACTTAACACAAAACAGATATAAATATCTTATTAAGAATTTAAAAAAAATCTTTATTATATATTGAAATGATAATACTTTGGATATACTGGCTTAAATAAAATACAATATTAAAAACATTTAAGTGCAACAAAAATGTAACTCCCAAGGTTAGAAAATTATAATCAAATTAAACTCTCAGTAACAAATGTATACTAAAACATAGGCAGATATTAATAAACTAGAAATTGCACAAGAGAGAACAGTTTGAAAGGTCACATTTTATTTTGAATACTAATAAAATTAGAAATCTTTAACAAAATGTTGTTAAATTCCTTTCTTTACCTTATGTGGTAATATAAAGAAATAAATTCTTTTCCTTGAAACATTCATTTGTATTACCACACAAGGTAAAGAAAGGAATTTACCAACTTTCTCTTACCATAGCCAAAAACTGATTCCAAAATTACTATAAATGAAATCACAAACACAAAACAGCAAATCATACAAGTTAAAAAAGGAGATGATTTGAACATGCCAGGTGTAATACTTTTTAATCAATATGAAATGATAGCATTGACTATATTTAAGGCAATTTTAAAAATCAAAAACATCATTGAGTAAAAAGATAAGCTCTATACTGGGAAATCTATGTGTAATGTATTTAGCAGGCAAAGAATACATACACATAATATATAAAGAATTCATTAAAATCAATATAAAAATATGACCTAATAAAAATGGGAGAAGACTGGTCAATTTCTAAACATTTAGATCTACAAAAATCAATTAACATTAGAAAAGATGTTATATTTCCTTAGTAATCAGAAAAATGAATACATCATTGTAAAATATGAGATGAGGTACACTGTATAAAGTATCTTTACAAATGTCAGAAATATTAAATTAAAAATATCTAGCATTGGTAAGGTTTAAGAATGTGTGCAGTTAATATATAATCTTGTTAGAAGTTTTAAATTAGAACAAATGATTTGGACAAATGTGTGTCATTCTCTTCTAAACTTGAAGCTATGCAGACACATTATCCTTCTATTCTTCCTTTAGCCATATACCCCCAAAAAATGAGCATGTGTGTCAAGAGTCAATTGTAAGAACATCCCAAAACTGGACACTATCTAAATATTTATTGTAGATAAGGATAAAATATATATGTATAAAGGACTGCTAACTGTTAATCAAAATGGAAGGATTACAGTGCAAAATATGGACAAATCTCAAAACCAACATTTTTTAGCTAATGAAACCAGACACAACATATTGAAATATATAATAATAATAATAATAATATATAGATGTTATACAGTTGCATTCAAAAAAGTTTTAAAACAAGCACATTTAAACAAAATAGTATAAGGAAAGACAATTTGTTTTGGAAAGGAAGGAGTGGATATGATGGTGACCATGAAGGAGCACAAATGCCATGCTGGGGATGTTCTATTTCTCCACCTAAACAATTGATTTTTAATAACACTTAGCTGATCATTTATGTTTTGCAAGTTTACTTCCTTTTAAAAATTTAAACATCAAAGAAATAAAATAGACTAAATTGCATGTTTTTTTCTATAATGCCTTAGTTAATGTAAGCTTATCTAAATTGCAATGATCTATAGATATCCATAAAACTTAACATATCTAAAAAATATTTAGAGTGTGTGATAATCTAGAACATCGCATACAACATTAAGAATACAGTGAAAGTCATTTCACAGCATGCAGCAAGGTTGTTGTTTTTTTCATTAAATAGTGGGGGACAATTATTTAAGAAAAATGAAATAAACTACATATCTGAAAATTGCAGTTAATGTAAAAAGAAAAATAGCATAATAAATAAAATATTATATGAATTTATGTAAGAGCATCTTGCTATAAAGGTGAAATAATACATTAAAACTGAAAATTTTTCTATGAATTTCTAAATGTCAGAATTATAGTTTTTTTTACATTTTTGAAAAGAAATATCCATTTATTAATGTAACAAAATTGTTATTGTCTACAACTACCTCTAAAAATATGAAAAACAATAACCAATGAAGAACAATTTGTAATGAATATGAGAAAGTAATTATCCATAATGGATCCAATAAAATCATTTGAAAAATTATCCAATCAAGATAATCAGTGAAGTATGTGAACAATCAATTTAAGATAAAGAAAGAAACTATTTAAGGTAAATAATCAAAGAAATAAAAACCATTATTATCAATGAATTTTTTTGCTTAGGGCAAATATTGTACACATTGTTCATGACAGTGTAAATTAGAATTGTAGGATCAAACTTTGTTAAAACTATGTTAATTATATAGCACCCAAAAATTTGAATGCATGTTTTTTCATAATTCAAAAAGACTAAAACCTTAGATTTGACCTAATTTTCCAAAAATGGGTAAAATATTGAATATAAATTGTTGATATAATAACAATTGAATAGAATGGAGCTCTGAAAAAGTCCTGAATCTTGCTGAGAGTAATATAGAGTGTGAAAATTTTCATTGGGTATTAATTAAAATTACTTTCAATTTTTGCATATATAACATTATAAAATATTTATAGTGTATTTTTGGCAGTTTCTAAACTTGGTACAATGTACACATAGCACTTTCTGTAGTAAGAACTATATATATATATATATATATATATATATATATATTTAAATAAAAGATAAGTAATTTCAATTACTCTCTTTTTTACTTTAGCCACGTGTTCCTTAATTGATGCTGAGCGCTGTACCAAACGTTATGGTAACTGTAGAAGAAACTGTTATAAAAAAGAAAAGCAAATTGATATATGTTTCTCAGTACGTAAGATTTGCTGCCTTGAGATCTTTGAGGACGATTGATTTTGAAAAAGAGGACATATCTCTGAACAAAGAAGTTGTATGTACATTAAAGCACTGGATAAATATAATTAAAGCCTGTGAAATAAATAATTAAATACACAAGTCAATATTGTTATCTTCCCTTTTAGATGCTTATTACCCTATGGAATGCAATGAGATAGGAACTCTCTCTGAGCCAGAAGTTTGAGCAGATGTGTTTCTGGAGCTGATTTCTTATGACATGAGTATTAGGATTGCTTCAACTGAGGCTCATGTTGAAAATGTCTTGGGTCCCCTAACTTATACAACTGAACATTTCCCAATTTTATCATCATCTCATTAAAATTTTGATTCATGAAAACCAATATTCCTGGGTTTATCAGTGGTCTAATATCACAATAAGATTATTGAGAATCAAGACACAGAAAAAACTTAAATAAGAACTAAAGTGTAAGCTAGAGTACAGCATAGATACACTCATTGTCCCTCCCTCTCTTCTGTTCATTTAAAAAGGCATGCTAGTCTAACACCATTTGATCTATTAAGAACTGAGCTTAAATACAATCTGGACTTTAGCTGAAGAATCTAGACTCATAAACATTAGCTGGGCCTAATATTACAGTTTTCTCACATAGCCCTGGATGGGATGGAAGAAGTTTGTTATTTCAACCTCAATGTAAGTGGTTTCTCTTATATTAAGGGTTGGGGGAGGGAATACAGAGAATATAATTTGTTTCACAGCTATAAATAAAGGATATATTAACCATTTGTCAGTTTTTCCAGATGCCCAAACATATTTGTTTTTAAACATTAGCTACTGGTCTAGGAGTATTATTTTGTTTATTCTGTTTTTAATGGGAGACTTTGTGAATGTCTATCATAATAATTAAAATAAATGACAAGAACTGGAATCCAAATTAGGGATGAAATAGGTATTGGAGGTTTGAATGATGTGAAACAAAGGAAGTCAAAGGAATGCAGAAGTAAGAGTAAAGAGGATAACTAATGTAGGATAAGAGACTGGTACAAGGATCAGATGTGAGGATTAAAGAAAAAAGACACACGTATAGAGCAGTAGGGATGAGGAACACATTTTTAAAAGTCAAATGCAATGACAAATAAAGCAAATACTCAAAATATACACTAAAGTTTTAAGGAAAGGGCATCAAATAAGATGCAACAGCAACACAGTTGTTGAAAGTGAAATAACCAGATAGTAAAATCAAGATCCATGGGAAAATCTAAAAGACAGATTTTATCAGAACATATCCACATAATTGCACATGTAAGTGCATGGAGAAAACTAACAGACATAAAAGATAATTAAGACATCAGGAGCTACCTGATGTCTTAATTCTATGAGCAATCTCTGACAGCGTGGGAGAACTCAGATGGAAGAATTGGGGCCTTTTGATGGACCTGCAGATAGAAAGGCCCTATAGTGGCAACAGCATTCACTTGGACAGGACAGCATGCCAATATGGTTACAGCAGATAAAATCGGTAGGTATTTTCCAATCCCAAAGTGCGCAAGTGAATTGATACTTGGAAATGACTAAAGGATTTTAGGAAGTCTACACATTGAACTCTTGAAACTCACCAGACAGTGCTCATTTCCAAGATAGCCCTCAACACTTTGGAAAAACTTTGAGAATGGGGACAACAAATATGCAGGATTGTGAGTGATGATAAACTGAATTCTGCCCACGATTAGAGTCAGTAAAGAATCTATGTCCAGAATTCCCATATCTTTTTTAAATATATTTTTTTAGTTGTAATTGGACAAAATACCTTTTTTTCATTTTTTAGGTGTAGATGGACACAACACAATACCTTTATTTTTATGTGGTGCTGAGGATCGAACCCAGGCCCTGCCCATGCTAGGCGAGCACTCTACTGCTGAGCCACAATCCCAGTTCCAGAATTTCCATATCTTAATATCCCCATTTGATGAAGTAGTTAGAAATAAAAATGAGGTGAAAATGTCCAATTTTAACTTCACATGTGAGATTGGCAGAACCATGTAATCACTCATTATATTATTTTCCTACAGATGGTGCCCATAGATGGATTTTCTCTTGTATTTACAGCTAGGTTACAAGGAAGTTATAAGTGTTTAGGAAGTATTATTCATGTTTCCTTCATCTTATCCAGGCCTAGCATAGATTTGTAATTACATATAGGTGTTAGTAAATGTTATAAATATTTTGCCTAGAAATTTAAAATATCTCTCATCTATACAAAACAAGCAACATTGTATTCTGAATTTTATGGTTTTTAATGTAGTTTGAAAGCTAAACTGAAAAACTGGGGACACTGGAAAAAGATATTTCTGGTTTTAATCCCCCAGTACTTATTACTCACTCATGTAATTTTAAACAAATTACTAAGCTGGTTTTCAGTATATTACTTCACATATAATAATGAAAACATACAGAAATACAAATGAAACCATGGTCTATATTTTTCATTGTGTCAAAAAGAAATTCAATCTTTATTCATATGTCTCTGAACCTTTTAATGTGGTTCTTACATGCAGTCCAGAACAAAACTCATTAAAATTTATTTTCTTCTTTTAATTTTTAACAATCTGATATTTTTAGAACCCTTTCCATCATGGTGGGTGTGGATGTAATAAAAGGCAGCAAAATTCTTGATATATTTTGAAGATAGTGCCAAATGATTTTCTCGGGAAAGGAAATTAGTGTGATTTTTATCCTTGCAGACCATGGATGATGTAAGTTATTTAAGTAATTATAAAAACAGAGTTTCCATTAAATATTTCTTGGGAGACAGCTTGGCAAGATGTGTCTGTCTTTCTGGGGCTCAATTGGACCATACAAGTTTAGGTATTTAATTGAAAAGATCAAGACATAGTTGGAAATTTGTCTAAACTTTAAGAGAAAAGGTTCAAGATAGGGATAAAACTTGAGAATCATCAACTTCTAGATAAATGTAAAAAATAACACCTCCATGGGAATAGTGTAAATGATTTTTCTAGAATTAAGACATGGGGTATGCTTAAATGCAAAGGTTAATAAGATGAGAAACCAGTATAACAGACTAATAAGTAATCACAAATTTAGGATACACATAAATGTAATGTTCATACAACACTTAAGAGCATATATCCACAATTCCTAATAAGTTAATTCCTAAGATGAGGAAATGGCCAAGATTTTAGCATGTAGTAGTCTTTGGTAACAATGATTAGAGCAATTTCAGGACACTGGAAGAAGAAAAAATCTCATTCAAGACAGAATTAGAATATGAAAAACTGGAGAGAATTAGAAAATTATTTGAAAGCATTTGTTGGTAAATGGAACAGAGAAAATAGTGTAGTAGGTAAAGATCAAAGAGGGGTCAAGGGAGGATTATTTCCAAATTTGGAAAATTTTAAATATTATTATGTAATAAGAAAGAGCTACTGAAAAAGAAAATTGATGATGCAAAAGAAAAGGAAAAGAGTTCCTACAATGACATCCTTGAGTAGGTGAAAATAATGGATCCAAAGCAAAAGTAGAGATGTTGCCCCTCTCCAGGGTTATGGTAGCAGGAAAGCCCATCCAGAGTAAGGAAGGAACAATGTAATTCCCGTTCAGAAAACAGGGGGAAATAACTGTCAGAGAAATGAAGTTCCCTACTGACTGCCCCGTCTTCTCTATGAAGTAGAATGATAGGTTATCAGCTAAAGTTTTAAAAAATGGAACCAAGCTCTGGTGGCTTCAGAAGTGAGAAGAGAGCATGAACTAATTCTCTAAAATTAGTGGAGCATAAAGGAAACAGGACACATGATCTGATTTCCTGGCAGCATTCCTGGCTGGCTTCTCAAGGCCCAAAAATTAATGACAGTGAATTTATGATGAACAAGTCAGTATGCTGATGTGGTTCTCTTTCCCAAAGGTCATTTCTACATGCGTAGTTATGTTGTAGGTTGAAAGAAGACCTGCTCATTTTCAGACCTAAAATTCTGTCAATAGTTAATACATCATCAGTCTCAGAGTAGGAATAAAACTTTGTTAATACTGGGGGGAAAGTAGCTGTGATAAGCCCCCAAACGGTAGTTATGCAGTATTAACTTATGATGGTTCTATAATTCATTTAATTGATTTTTCTACTCATTCATTTATCTATTCACTCAAACATTATTAATATTTAGTATTCATTCAAACATTATTAGTATCTATTAGATTATTAATATCTAGTATTCACTTAAACATTATTAATATCTATTTGTATATAGTAGATATTAATAATAAATAGACAAATGAATTGGCAAACAAGAAAATCCCTGCTGTCATCAAGAAGAAAGTGAGTGTATATAGGGAGAGGAGGGAAACATAAAATTAAGAATATATTTTATGTACTCAATTGTAAAATATTCCAGGAAATTACCTTGCAAGAAAGAGAAAACATGCTAAGAACAACTGTTTTAGTCTCCGAGGGCCGCCATGACAAACTACTACAGTTTGAATGGTTTGAACAATAGCAATTCGTTCATTACATTATAATGATGTGAAATCCAAATTCAAGGTGATGTTATGTTGAAGCTCTTGGAGTTCTTTTCCCTAGTTTGAAGGGAGCCATCTTGCTTTGTTCTCACAAATTCATCTCTCTCCATTTGGGCCCCTCACATCCCTGCATCTTATAAGGAAACAAATCCTATTGGATTAGAGTTTCACACTCAGGAGCTTATTTAACTTTACCTCTTTAAATGCCATTTCTCGAAATGCAGTTACATTGAGGCCTATGGCTTCAACATAAAAATGGTAGGGAGGCACATCTTAGTACATAACTAGAACTAAAAGGTATTAAATTGCAAAACGTCCCCCATGAAATCAGGAAGCAACTTTCTCCAAAATATCTACAAAACTTGCATCTTCACATGCACTGACTGGACAATAAACAAAGAGGTAATATGTTCTTTCTACTCATTCTGTGTCTTCATTGATATATAACTGTACTTCACATAGACCATAGATTTTGCATTGCATTTTCAATTCAGATTCTATATATAAATAA